GAGAAGGCTGGGTTAAAAAAAAATTTTTTTTAAAAAGAGGATATGTTAGCTTTGGTCTCTGCTGTGTGCAAGAAGTTAACCAGGGTATACTTGAGATCCTCCAAATATGTGCGCTTTGTGGCCTCTGGGAAGGCCTCATGGCTGGGCCACAGATGGGAAACCTAGTGCTGGAGCCAGGGCAGGAAGGCTGTGGGGTGCAGCCTCCAGTACAGCAGGGAAGCAGGAGCTGAGCTGGCTGGGTGAGTGAGGGCCAGGAGACAGGTGGAGGCCAGGTGTAGCCCTGAAAACCAGTCCGATGTAAAAATGAAGCAGACTGAGGTGTGCCAGTCTGTGTTCAGAAGCTCAAACTGGCTGTTGTGTAGAGGATGCATGGACAAGCCAGAGCAGAAATGTGGTAGCACATTATAGTAGTAAGGCTGCTAGCGGGAGATCCGTAGTTGCATGTGTGCCCTGTAGCTGCCTGTGAGTCCTTCAGGTAAATTTCTGTAAGTGGGATTAGTGAAATGAAGATGGACATCTTTAAAATTCCAGTTCTGTCACTGAGCCACTTTGCAGAAAGGTGCCTACTAGTTTTCTCTCCCACTGTCACTGAACATCAGTAAGACTCACCCTCACCACCCTCGCCATTCTGGAAAATGAAGACATCCATTACCTGATTAAGGGCAGAGCAAAAGAAACCTGGTTTGATAGCAGTCTGAAGGAATCATGGACATCTTGGTTGTAAACAAAGTCAGTAAGTAGAGCTGGGGTGAAGGCGCACATCTGTACTCTTAGCACTCTGGGAGGCAGAGGTAGGAGCAAGTGTAAGCCCAGCCTGGCCAGATCAGTGAGACTCTCCTCAAAAAATAAAGGACTAGTGCAGGGGCTGTGAGTTTACTCTACAGTGTGTGTGTTGGTCGGGGAGGAGGACTGAGGGTGTAAGGTCATTGTTAAACTCTGGACCTACAGAAGTGAACTCAGATCACATCCAGCATGATTAGATACTGGGGAAGGACAGCTGCAACTGGAGAGTGTTCTGAGGTTAGTGACTAGGAGGATTCAACAGACTCCCAAGCAGCACTTGGGATCAGGGTTGGGGCTTGGGGGTGGACTTTTTCATTTGGAGAAGAGAACTGGAAGAGAGGCAGTGCCCCTTGCATTCTTGGCAGAGCTGCCCTTGGCAAAGAGCATAGGCTGACACCCTAGTGCCCTTGTAGACAGGGACAGTTATAGTGGGAGTGGGATTTCTGGCTTTGTGGGAAAAGACTTTTTTTTTTTTTTTTTTAGTGAAAACAACTGGTGAAAATGGAGAAGTCTTTGCTGCTGGAAGTATTCAAGCAGAACCAGACAATACTGTCTGCATTCTGCTGTGCAGAGGGACTTTCTGTGCCGAATGGATGGCTGGATAACATCTCAGCTTCATTCCACTTCAGGGCTTGTTGTCATCCACTGACTCTGGAGCATGTGGAAAGGAGACAGATTAGCCTCTGAAATAACACCTAGGAGGGATGCAGGCCCCAGCCTTTTAAATGTAGAGGACAGAAAGGTCTCTTCCCTGCTGCCCCTTCTCTCTGTCATGGCCCTCCACTGAGGGGATGAGCTGTGACTGGCTTTTCCTGATCATTTGCCCTACTTCCTGTGAGCCTTGGGGAGGAAATGAACAGCAAAGTTGCTGCCCCTGCTGCTGAGCCTAGAGAAGCAGGGCAGGGTTCGCGGTGATGGGGATCTCACTGCAGATCACATTCAACATTTGACCTGGCTAGCGCTTAGGCCATCTACTGAGCCATAGACTTGAATCACCCTGCTGCGTTGGTCACCGTGTGACTGGAGGGATGGAGTGGGAACTTCCTGTGTTGTGCTTAGAAACCAGAAATTTCACTCAAGTGAGCCAGGGATATAGCTCAGCGGCACAAGTACTTGCCTGGCAAGCACAGGGTCCTGAGTTCAGTCCCCAGTACTTTAAAAAAAAAAGAAAAGAAAAGAAATTTCACTTGAGAGCATAACTGTTTGTTTTGAACCTAAGGCTCCAGGGGGCTCAGTCAGAACAGAGTGGGTTGTTATCTTCAGCCCATCCATGCCACGGAGCCCATAAGACTGCCTTGACCTGCTTCTGCCTTCCTCCTGCACAGTCAGGTGTCCAGGGCAGGGCTGGGCTCTGGAACTAGGATAGATGCTTTGTCATCGTGTGATACTAGAGGAGGGGCATGTTCTGACCTTTGGTTTCCTCCCCCCACCTTCTGGTAGAATGCAGCGTTTAGCACCAGCTCTTCTACCTTGAGCCACAGTCCACTGGAGAGACCAGGCCCAGGTTTGATTATAGACCTGAGAGTCCAGCCAGTGGCCCCATGGAGTTAATAAGCTACTCTGGCTTTGCAGGGAGTCTCAGTTGGGAGAAAGCCCTCAAATGTGGGAACCAGCACAGCAGAGAGTTCATTCTGGCCAGGAGGCCATAGATCCTCTGCACCTCACTTGCCACATTTGCAAAGCAAGAGCAGCAGCTGGCAATGTGTTCCCAAAGACACTCATTAAATGCAGGGCCCAGCCTTCTCCCCTTCCCCTCCCTCCCTCCCACTTCTCTTCCCTCTCTTCCTCCTCCTCTTCTCTCTTTTGTGAAAATAGCTTCTCTCAAATTCTAAGACAAAATAATGAAGCATCCTTTATGTCTTACTTTATGTAATTGTATTGGATGATCAAGAATATGTAGCCTAAGCTTGTGCCAGTGAACCCATTTCCAGTTGTCATTCTCTTTTGATATTTTTACTGTGTTGGTGTTGATTTTGATAATTTAAGATTAATTTTAAGTGTGTTATTAAAAGGGCAGTTTGTTTTGTTTTGTTTTTGTTTTTTCTTTTCTTTCTTTTTTTTTTTTTTTTTTTTTCAGAACTGGGAATTGAACTCAGGCCCTTGCACTTGCCAGGGAAGCACTTATTCCACTGAGCCATCTTTCTGGCCCCAAAAGGGCAATTTTGATAGTCATTTACATCCTGTATCATCTTTCTCCATTCTTAGATGGTTTTTTAAAAATATTTCTAAGATTGAGGTGAAAAAAACCTTACCAGCCTTTCTTTTTTTCACCCCAAACGTTGTTATAAAGATGGTCTTGAATCACAATCTTGGTACTTTCTAAGGCTATTTGTGTCCTTTACTTTTCTCCTGGTTTTAGGCAGCCAAGAGTAAAGTGATATCCTTCCCTAAGAATGGGGCAGGGAGGCCCATGGCCGTAAGCATCATTGTCTATGATCCTTGTCCATTTCCCCCCACTAGATTGTTCCGCTGCACCACACTGATTCCCACCAAGAGCACAGCAGCTTGGCCTGAGCCTCCTTTCTGAGTGCCCTGTTCCCAAAGGTCAGGCCACAGCTTCAGCGGTTGCAGCCAGCAGATGGCTGTGGGGCTGGTGCTGTCTGTCTAGGCAGAGGGGCAGGGGCTGGTGCTAAATGCTTCTACAGAGTGGAGCGGAGAGTCCTACAGCAAGCAGTGTCCGGCATTGTGCGTCCATGCACTTCTAGGGCAGAGGACTCCCATGGCTGGCTGTCCCATATGATTGCACAGCGCACTCACAGTATGTGTCTTTACCCTGTCTCCTCTGAGGGCAGCACTACAAGAAGGTGGAACTGAATGGCTGTGCGGACATGGGCAGGAAAGTGCACAAGAACTTTGCCGTTTCCCCACTCTCAAGAATTTCTTGAGGGGCTAGAGGTATATAGTTTGGTGGTGGAGTACTTTCTTAGCATGCTTGAGGCCCTCATTCCACCCCTAGCACCATGAGAAAATAAAAATACTTCTCAAGTAAAATCATCATAAAATAGTTATATGTAAAAATCTCCGCTCCATTCCTACAGTGTAACCTCACTCAAATGATGTGGTTGTTACTAGCAAAGCAAATCCCTTCGTATATTAGAAAACAAGGAAATTAGGCCGAACTGTGTATAATGCCATTCTTTCTTTTCCTATACATCTTGGGAACTTTTTTCAGGACGTCTTAGAACTTAATGAAATAAGGCCACTTAAATCAGGACCCTTAAGCTCCATTTTTGGAACAGACAAATGTGACATATAATACTTTCTTACTCTCTGTACCCTCATCCTGCAGATGGTAAAGTTGTAACCTGCAGTTCACTCATCACACTGTCTGGTCACTCTCGATCTGTGAATCCACATAATGCCACGAGGAACATGGAAGCACTTTTAGGTCTTAAGCACTCTAGCATCTGCTCTGTCAGCATGTCTCGAATTTGGCCCCCAAATACTTTCCAGAGACATAAGACTGGTTGATGGCATGGTGGCTTTGGAGCTGCAGTGCACAGTTGTAATTTGGTGACTTACAAGCCAGTGGGACAGTTTGGGAAGTTAGGAACCCTTTATTCTATAGACTTGTGTGTCCTAAAGTAGTACTTTTTTCTGAGTAAGTAGGACGGGACACCAGATAGTTTGTTTCCAGCTCATTAATGCCAGTCAAGTTCATGAATGTCTTCCAACACAGCGAGACATTGACAACCCTTCTGGATAGCACTTGCAGGAGCCTGAGAGAGATTCAAGGAGATTGTGAAGCTTTAGAAAGGCAGAGGCCACTGTATAAATTGCACTCTGTGTCTCTCACCCGATGAGAACTCAGGAGTGAGGGGTGTGTGTGTGGCTCGCTGCTAGACCACTTGCTAGCAAGCATAGGCCCTAGGTGTCCTCCCCAGCACTGCCAAAAGAATATTCAAATACCAGTGCTTGCATTTGTGTTGTTTTTTTTTGTTTTTGTTTTTTTTATTATTATTATTTATGTGTGTGTGTGTGTGTGTGTGGCCAGCTCAGCCCACCAGGGGGTGGGGCTGGCTGGCATGTGGTGCTGGGGGATTGAACTGAGGTCCCTTTGCTTTGCTAAGCTTGTTTAGAAGTAGGTGCTTTAGACCACTGAGCCATCTCACCAGCCCCAGTGCTTGCATTTGTAATCTCAGAAATTTAGAAGAAAGAAAAGCTGGATTTTTTTTGCTGTCCTTAATTCACACTGTGTATGTGTATTTCCTTTTAAGACATATGAAGATTCATGAGAAGGACCCCAGCAGTGCTACCACTGCTGCCCCTCCATCCCCTCTGAAGCGCAGGCGGCTGTCCTCCAAGAGGAAACTGAGTCACGATGCCGAGTCAGAAAGAGAAGACCCAGCACCTTCTAAAAAGGTCCTCTCAGCTTCTGGCACAGACATGCCTCAGCATAGGGCTTTTAACAAAAATACTGCTAATCTTTATTTTCGCAGTGTGGGGACTTGGCCGACATCCACCCTACGCTTTTTAACCTGTGTTTTCCCACACATTTTATGAAATGACTAAGAGAAGAATACCTTGTGTATTTCCTCTTCAAGCACCCCTTGCTGAGCTGAGGAATGAAATAAACTTCCATGCTTTTTACATTTGCTCTCAAGCTAATATGAAATCTGCATTACCTTTGGGTTTTCTCTTGCCCTTGCCCTTTGTTCTGTGGTGTTTAACAGATATTAAGTGTGCTCTAAGTATGTGTTGAAGGGATAAAAGGATTGAGTGGGTGGGTGGGTGGGTGGGTGGGTGGTACTGTTCAGTGAAGGCAAGTGAATAAGTGGACAGTGACTTTCTTGCTGTTCAGGCTGGAGATCGTATCTTTTCCGAGGTAGTCTCCCAGTGGGCCTGTGCTGAAGCACATCTACATGGGAGACCCTTTCGAGACTTCACTTTATGCTTTTCTCTCAGATGGTGGACGATGGACAGCCGGGTGGCTTGGAAAAGGCAGATGGTGAAGTCTTTCATTGCCCAGTGTGTTTCAAGGAGTTTGTTTGCAAGTATGGACTGGAGACCCACATGGACACCCATTCAGATAACCCACTGAGGTAGGAGAAGTGGCAAGCGCGACCTGTGGTCTGGAAAACTCCATTTCATCGCTTCTGGCATTTACCCTTATTTGTCTTTCAGCTGGACTTCAGTAATTAAATGTGTCTCTGGGGAGGAGGTTGGGTTGGGGGCCACGCACCCCAATTCCTTCACTTCTGAGTGAGGCCTGGTGGGCAGTCACCAGTGCTCTCCTATTACAGGGTGTTTTGCACAAACATATTTTCTCTGTACAAGATACCACAGCCCATATGATTGTCAGCTGTCCATGGGCATACGATGACCCATTCGTGTGTTTCGTGCCTGGCGCAGTGTGGGCCGTACTGTGTTTGGACTGAACTTGGCCCCATGGCACGGAAACCCAGTGTTAGGGGTAAGAAAAGTTCTGAGTGAAAACATTAAGTCTGTCAGGACTGAAGGAGGTAGTTTCTAACAGTGCTTCTGCTGCCTGCCTTCCATTCTCAGTCTTCTCGGCAATGGTATTTATGACCCTCATCAGTGCCAGGCAGAGAACAGGGATAGCAACACAGCTTTCCAGCAGGGTTCAGGGACAGGCCTGCATTCTCTACCTTCTCTGCTGACTCTCACCAGACTAAGTCCTGTGTTATGGATGAACAACGAAGTTTAGAGACTTTTCATACAGAATTGCCACATTTAAAATGTTAGTGCCAGGGGCTGGTGAGATGGCTCAGTGGTCTAAAGCACCTACTCAGAACAAGCTTAGCAAAGCACAGGGACCACGGTTCAATCCCCCAGCACCACATGCCTGCCAGCCGCGCCCTCTGGTGGGCTGAGCTGGCCACACAAATAAATAAATAAATAAATAAAATTTAAAAAATAAAATAATAAAATGTTAGTGCCAGATGGGCGTGGTGATGCGCACCTGTAATCTCAGCACTCAGGAGGCTTGAGGCTGGGGAATCACTGTAAGTTTGAGGCCAGTCTGAGCTACAGAGCAAGTTCAAGGCCAGCCATGATTACATAGTGAGACCTTGTCTCAAAAAAGTTGGTGCCATTAATTCTAAGCTTTGAAAGGAACTAATAAGCACCCAGGAACCTCTTCTAGAGTTGACTCAAAAGTAACTTGAAAGTTGAGAGAAAGTTACTTTTCAGTCTGAAAAGTCACACATAGCTGAAGATTCATCCAAGCACAGAGGGCTGGTCCCTGTGTGGCTTTTCGAAGATAGCTTGGAGTCCAGGACTTTGGGCACCTGTGTGCCTGAGTCCCCATGTGTGGCCTGAATTCCCTTCCAAGGACGCCTGCTTCCTGATGACGTGGGAATGAAAAGGTCTGTGCAAGGTGACTCCTTTCGTGTTAGTGGAAAAAGACTAGAGGACGCTGACTGGAAACCACAACCAGTGTCGTCCACAGCCATTTTAGCGTGATGTTTTTCAGTTGGGGAAGAGACAGAACTTACGGAGAATTTATACTTGTGGACCAAGTAAAATACTGTTAAAATGTCTTTACAGAGCTCTCCGCCTCAGGGCGAGGACTTACTTGCCACTTTTAGGTGATTTAATCCTATAGGGAAGCACTGTGGCTTTTAGGGTTTCTACTAAGCCCACGCCGCACAGTGCAGCATGCAGTAATGACAGCAGCACTTGTCTGGCGACACGTGAGTTTCCTGGAGTAGTCTGGCAAGGCTCAGTCCTCACAGGCAGGTAGAAATGGGAGTCAGCTGGACACTGGTCATTCTTTCAAGTGCCATTTGTTAGGTGATTGGGCCACGAGGCTACACCTCCAGCTATAAAGTGGGGTTTCCTTTCTGGGCTTGGTACATCCTTCTGCCAGGGGACAGAGCTCCTCCAGCTCGGCAGGCACTGGGCCTGTGCAGGTAGTCCTCACCCCCAGCTTAGCAGGGTTGGTCTAGTCCTCACACCACCACCACCCCAGGCCACAGGGCTGGCAGCGGTCAGAAGAAGGCCGAGCAGGCATCCCTGCCTCGTGGCTCTGTGCGGTGACCACTGCCTCATGGGGTGGGGCTGGCCTCTGGAGGCTGAAAGGAGTGATTACAGATCTCAGTGATTCCCTCGTCTGGATGCTCTGCTGTTCCACATAATAGCCTGCTAGTATAGGGGGCCTAGAGGCAGGCATGGACAGCCGGGCCTGGCTGGGCGTGAACTGTGACAGGCAGTGGGAGAGACTGCTCATTAACCAGAACTAAAATAGACACTGACTCCATTTTCAAACCCCAAAGAAAGCAGAGCCACAGTGAGATGCTACCAGCTTGGGCAGAATGTCTGTAACTCAAAACAGCTGCTGGCTTCTCTCGCCTGCCCTGACTCCCTCCCTTCCCTCCCCACAAAGCTGGCGAGGTGCCTCCATTCCTTAAGAAAGCATTGGAAATCCAAACGAGTAAAGACTGTCTGTGTTCCTCTGCTCTGTTGTGCTTCAAATTAACAAAGTATCGGCCTCAAGCAAAAGGAAGGCACTGAGCCACTGGCAGATTCCAGCTCTTAGGGTCAGGTGTCCGCAGTCCCTTTTGCATGCAGTCCCTTTTGCACGGTCCTAGGTTGGGGAGCAGGGGCATGGGAAGGACACCTGGGGGCCAGGGACTGTGTTCACAGAGCAGGCGTGTGTATCCCTGCTGCTTGGGAAGGTCGAAGAAGGAAGGTTCTAAGTTCCCGACCCACCTGGACACCTTAGCAAGACTCTGTCTCAAAACAAAATTTTTTTAAATGCTAAGAATATAGCTCTGACAAGTGTGAAGCCCTAGGCTCAAGTCTCAGTACTACTCCCAACCCCTGAGAAAAAGAAACCTACAGTCTTAGAGCAGCCCTGTGTGCAACAAGGGCTGCTGGACATGGGAGGTCTCGCACACTTGTTAGACTCCAGCAGAGCAGTAACCTATCCACTGCCAGGAGGACTGTCTGGGCCAACAGCAGCAGCAGCAGCAGCAGCAGCAGCAGCAGCAGGATTGAACCCAGCCATCCTTTGAAATCATCAAGTAGCCTCATTTTAAAAAGTACAACATAGGCTTGGGGGTAGGTGACGCTCAGTGGTTGAATGCACATGTACATGGCATGCATGAGGTCTGAGTCTCAGCCCCATGCAGAAAAGAAACAAGCAATATTAATGCTTTACTTGGTTATTATACCACAGTAGTCAAAATAGACCATCAACACACACGGCATGCGAAGTATTAGTGATGCTGAATTTTACTTTCTTGCTGTCATAGGCCTTGAAGTCCAGTTTATGTGGCACTGTCAGCAGCACACAGCAGGTTTAGGATGGGGGTAACCCCAGTGTTCTGCATGGGTGACTCTCCCCCTGGCATCAGCTGAGTGGGCAGGAGCTTGGGGTCACTTTGTTGATGAAGTGGTTGCCAGAGGTAGAACTTGGTCTGAGTTACTGTATAATCTTAGGTGGCTTTTTGATTAAAGGAGATGAGGTAATAAGTAATTTTCACACTGTTTCAGTTAAAATGTACCCGGCCAATGATGAGTCCTCATTATGATCTGGCTACAGTGATGTTTGAGCCAGAGGCCTCGGGCTGCCTGGAAGGCGGCAAGGGCGGCATCATTGCTCAGGTCATGTTATTGATCCCCAAGTTCATCTCCCAGGTGATTTTAACTCTTTAACTCCCTTGGTGCCCAGCAGTCTTTGTTAGGAATGAGCACATGGGGAACCTGGGGGTCTGGCCCAGGTTAGCCGGCCTAAAGGAGATCCCAGGACCTTTTGTCTCCTCTTTCTTCGCTGTTCTGAGAGACATAGGGCCCCTTCTCTGTGCTCCCACCACCTGCTGAGAAACCTTGAGATTCTCCATGGGGCCTTGTACTTGGTGACGTGGTCCTGAACCAGAAGAGGCCTAGTAGTGTCTGGCAGTGTCCTGTTGGAAGTGCAAGGCTCGGGGATCAGCCAAATGGAAGCACTCTTCGGTGAATGCCAGCATCTAGGGATGGGGGGCAGAGGCCAAGGGAGGACACCAGCTCACCTGGTGCCTGTGCCCACTCCCCAGGTGCCCCCATGAGGCCCCTAAGACTGTTGCACTCTTTCCGCCACTTGGCCATCCTGGCAGGTCCCTTGAGCAGAGCAGGGAGGCCTCCCAGCAAGAGCTGTCACAGGGCAGTCTCCACTGCTCACAGCAACTGGGAGAGATTAGTGCAGCTGTGGGTGTCAGTTCCCAGCGCTGGCCAGGGCCAGGACAGTGGGAGGGTGGGCTGTGGGGCAGGAATGTCTTTGCCGGGTGGGGCTCCAAGGAGGGATTGTTTGCACTCATTCCTCCTGGCTCTGCAGATACAGCAGGAAAAATGAAGCATAAAATCCCTTTTAAAAGGAATGCCGGTCTCCCAATTAAAACACTAATGAGTGAGGGATTCAGCGTCTCGGCCAGCAGCCTACGAACAGCAGCCTCCTGGCAGGTGTATTTCTCAGAACGGGAGTGTCGGTTGGGAATGTGCTTGGCTGAGCAAGTGTCCAGGCATGAAGGATGTAACGCAGGTCATGTAAGGAGCTGGGCATCTGTACAGAATCGCCCTGCCCCAGCCTGCTGCCTGGCATCTCTGTGACCTTGGGCAGTACTGGCTCAGTTTGCCCATCCAGAAAATGGACTTATAGGGTTAACCCAGCACTGGAACTGTAAGAAACACTGAGTTTCTCTTCTGATACTGTTATTTGGATACATCTCATTGTCACTCTTTAGGCCTTCCACCATTCACAGTTAAGGTTTGTGGTGGCCTTTGGCTATCCCATTAGAGGGAGATGGGGAAGTCCGGTTCCCCACCTTCTCCCAAGTGCTGTTGACTTGACAGAGGCCAGGAGGGCAGTGCATCCTTTACTCTTACTGTCATAGAGAACCACGTTCATCTAGTTTTACTCCTGTCAGAATTGGGAGACTGAGTGCTATTTAAATTTGAGTTGATCCTGTTCTCCCCTGCCCTGGTACATTGTATGGAGAGGCTGCTTCAAGGACTTGACATCTTTAAAAATAAGCAGTCGTCATTTTGTTAGGCTGCTGGGGAAGCCTCAGATTCTAAAGAAATGAGTTTCCTAATGTTTGAA